TGTTGATAAAATCTATAAATGGGAAATGATAATAGTAAGAACTGCTTCTAAAAATAGTAGTAAAATTAATTTTATATGGATGTTATGGTTTAAATTAGCTGAAACTCGATGGTGTTTTTGAATGTGTACTTCTCTGGGCTTGTGTCAAAAAGTTTCATTACCAAATGAACTTTTATCACCTAATAATATAGAAGATTATAAAGATTTATAAAGTCTTATTTTGTAAAAGTTATTTTTGTAAGGCATAAGAAAAGGAGCTCCAGTAAACTTGGTGAATCAGTTGTTTAACACATTAAAAGAGGAATCCATTTATATATGATTAATATGAAAACACCTACATTTCTGTGACCTACAGGCAAGGCATTTGGTACCTTTTTTGTTTGAATCAAAGCTAAAACAGCACAGATTTTCATTCTTTTTTTTTCCCCTTCTCTCCTCAGAAGTTTTAAGACAAATGATTTGAAAGTTCTTTCATGTTTCTCTGAGTAACTATTGGCTGCTTCAACCGTGTCCTTACATACCTCCCCGTTATGTTGAAAATTTTCCTGAGATCCCTAAACTTGTGCTCATAATCTCCCTATGCCCAGATAGTCTCTTGTGAAATGGAATTAATTAATTCATATGCCAGGTTAATTGTAGTCAGTTTGGTACATCCTCTCACGCTCTCATCCCCTCACTTGGAAATTGTCATGGAAAATGCCTTCTGAAATGCTAAATCCTCCTTTCTCCGGTTCATTTGAATTCAACTGGAGCTTCTGGAAGCTAAGCAACTGTTGAAAATTAAGCAATTAGCCTGCATGCATAAGAAAACAACATCCACCATTATGGCTTATATATTATTCTGATATTATTAATCTGAACTGTTTAATTGCTGCTTGTGAATTCATTAACAGAAATAAATTATTTTCAAACCATACCAAAATTTATTGAACTTTTCATCTGAGAAATTCTGATACGACAGTGAGATTTAAAAGGAAGATATTGTGGTTTACATAGCAGAGTGAGCATGATCCATGTTAGTGTGGAAGATTAGTGTCCCCTGCTTTCCTTTTTTTGTCTTTTTGGTTACCAAAACATTCTGTGGTTCCTCTGAAAAGTTGCTAGGGTGGGGGGGAAATGCTAGTAATTAGAGGAAGGGTAGTTACTTACCAAAGCATGAAGGGTAAAATTCCATGAGGAAAAAAGAAAAATACTATACAATTGCAGAATAGAGAAATGCTCATAATATTGTGTGTTGTTCTCTCCTCTGTGAAAGTTATTTTAAATTAAGCTGAGCAAATGTTTTGCATCTTTAAGTGTTGTATTCTAAATGAATCATCCTCAGTACTAAAACCTTTGCTTGGTGATAATACTCTTAACACCTATAAGTCTTCTACAGTGGTCCTCACAGGATTTCTTTTAAGAAATTATTCAATTTTTCTACAGTTATGTAATGGCTTATGTATATCTCAGTGAGAGACGATAGAGAAAGCGCTGGAAGTCATTTAAAGTGAGCCTTTTTTGAAAGCTCACCCCTTTTTAATTGGAAAGCTAGATGGATAATTTAAACTACTAGACCTGCTATAGTCTAGCTCAATTCTGTTATTTACTGTATATACATTTACAAAAACAAATTTCCAGAAATGACTGGATTATGTTAGAGCTCAGTTCTAACAGGATAGTCTACATCAAATATGTTAGGTCCTCTTGAAAATGTTTTTCAGCTATGGAGCATTAGAATCACGGATTTTGTGGGTTTTTTTCATACAGGCAAGAACCTAATCACAGGGCTCTATGCAAAGACCTCCTTTAGGCAGGACTGTTGTGGCACATTTGTTTAATACAGCATATGGGTTTGCATCTGCATTTTGGGCTATTATGAACATTTCTGATGTGTATTCAAGTCACCATTCAAGTCCTAACCAACTTTCAGCAGCATTTGAAAGCTTTTGGATATGCAGTGTCTGAGCTCTGGTTGTATGAATGTCGCTGCTTCCCTGGGGGAATACAGGTCACAGAGCATATGAGAGGAGAGGATAAAGCACTTCCAGCTGAAGAAATCTGACTGTAGAACAACCTTATAGAACAACCACCCACTTTCTTTTTTCCTTTGCTGAGCACCTTAAGCAGTGGCAGTCAGGGTATCAAATATAAGAAATGGATGTGGCAACCAAGTCATGTGTTACTTTGTTGTCTTTCCTGGCCAGAAAATATAAGGCAGTTTGGAACACCTGCTTTGGAGGACACTGGGGTAAATGATAATCTGACCATCTTTAGAAAATATTGAAAAGTTTGAACATCTTTGAGAAAGACA